GGGCGTGGGCGTGGGCGTCGGGGTGCCTTCGCCGCTCAACCCCATCTCGCCGCTCAAAAAGCCCTTCTCCAGCAATGTGATCGCGCCGCCCAAGTTCCCCCGCGCGGCCCCGCTCACCTCCAAGTCCTGGATGGAGGATAACGCTTTCCGGACCGATAATGGTAACAATCTGTTGCCATTTCAGGTAATGCCGGGTGCACCTGCACACGCCTTCCTCCTGCCCGCTCCTCCTGCCCCTCCTCTGCCTTCTAATCGTCCGCCCGGTTTTGTTCTTTAAGGAGGGCTGCAGAGTCCAGCTCCTCCGCCCCCTTCAAAGCCTCCGTCCGCTGGGGCTGATCCCCTCTCCGGGGACACATTGCGGCGGCTCGAGGAGACGTATCGTCCCGTCAGGTTAGAAAGGGGCCTTTTGCTTTGAGTTTATTTTCTCTTTCACTGTGCTTGTGCTTCCTGAATTTGACCTCCTTTGACAAGCAAAGCTGCAAGTGTATGGCAAGGTGCCGGCATAGTCCCGGGATGAGTAGGCTGAGATTCCTATCATTTTAAGTAGCTACACATCTCAGGTTATGCAATCCCGGGCGCAGGGTGCGCCTGAAAGCCGTCCACACCCAAACCTCCCTGGCTTTCCTCTGAAAGAGGTTAACAGCCCTTGAGTGCTGCTGTTTCAGACAGTTGCATATGCTCAATTAAACTAATGTGAGCACATGTGTTTATGTCTCGCTAAGGTGCTAGAATCATTAATAACAATCAGCATATTGCTCCTGCTGGGAAAATTATGAGCGCGAGATTCCATTGAACACCCGGGACTCTGTAAGGGAAGGAGGTGGAAGAGTGGAAATTCTGAGGGCCACCCGTTCCATGTTACCTAGAAGAAGGATTTAGAAATTGTTTGGATTTTTGTGCAGAGGAAAAAGACAATAGGACGCGACCTTCAGAGCCATATTGCAATGGAGTCTATTTGCCAGCTAGTACTGAAATATTTAAAGCTGCAGTGTCCTTCACCAATTGGGTTATTTAAGAAGACAATACAGATCAATTACACAATTTGAAACTGGGCAAAGTGAAAGTCTTGCAACTTTAATGAAAAACGAGTCCTGTGTCTTGGTGTTAGATGCCAATGAAAAACCCAGGAAGTGCCCAGACAAAAAGGTTGAATGGAGAGTGTCCTTTCTGTTCTTGCTTTCTGATCCAGTTCGCAGCCACAGCAGATGGCAGTGTCCTGGACATCTTGGGTCAGAAAGGGGTAGTGAGGGCTTGTGTTCACTGGGAGCTTTTGCTCAGAAAGGGGTAGTGAGGGCTTGTGTTCACTGGGAGCTTTTGCTCAGGCAAACACTTATCCTTCACTTAGAAATTGGTTTGGCTGTAAGCTTCTAGACTCAGTTTTTAAAAAAGCGAGGGGGGGGAGGGGGAGGGCTTCCGACAAGATTGGATTTGGGTGGTCAATGAAATGAATTAGACATTTTTTGGCAGTGCTGAAAGATGGCAGAGCTGCCAATTTGCCAGAGGTGGTTTAAGGTGTCAGGTTCAGTTGGGGCCTTCATTTTGCTACGCTTTACATTTTAGATGCTTCTTTACATTTCAGATGGGTGGCTCCCATCCATGAAGGAGGAAATGGGATTATTGAGAAGAACATGATCCTTTAGGCTCGATTTTTAACCTTGACCACAAAACCTCAAAATTGTGTATATGAGAGTTTTTTTTAAACCAAATTTTACCAAATTTTTGCAGGGGTCCTTCAGGAATGGAAGAGTTTAATATTAATATGTATTTCATCTCTCTCTCTCTCTTTTTTTTCAATTGGAGTCTCACTCTGTCACCCAGGCTGGAGTGCAGTGGCACAATCACTTGATCAGCCTTGATCTGCTGGGCTCAGGTGATCCTGATCCTTCTACTTCAGTCTTCCAAGTAGCTGGAACCACAGGCATGTGCCCCCACACCCAGCTAATTTTTTGATTTATTGTAGAGAATGAGGTTTTACCAAGTTGTCCAGACTGGTCTCCAACCCTTGGGCTCAGGCGATCCTCTCACCTCGGCCTCCCAAGGTGCTGGGATTATAGGTGTGAGCCACCATGCCTGGCCATATTTCTTCTCATTCTGAAAGTTTTCGTATTTTAATAAATTGAAGAGACATTGTAAGATAGTATTAGCTCAGTAGATAGGGAAAAGGAAGTATTCGCTTTCTGGGTTTTATCTGTGTGTTTATTTTTGAAGGGGGTGGGGCAAGGAGGCTGTATTTGGCAGGAGATGCCATCTTTTCCTAACATTCTCTCCTTTTATTCTGGTAATGCCTACCCAAGTCCAGTTTTAGAGGATAGCCTAAAATCTTATAGGGAGATTGGGGAACTGATAGTATAGACAAACTTAGCTGTCGTTTTCTAGGGGCTGAATCTGAACACAACCAGCTTTTGACTAATTATCTCCTGAAATGGACATTGGAGAGATTAAATTCACATTTCCCCAAACCTGACATTGACTAGTAGTGTGGCGATTGCCAGTTGTTTTTCAGCAAACCATTCACCAATGATGCTAATAAGAGCCAAATGGATGGGATTGAGTTTGGTCTCTGTCTTTTCATTCCTGCTGATGCTATTGAGTAGGCAAAATGGCCAAAAGATATGTAGGAGGAGAGGTTTGATTGAAAATTGAACATTATGTATTTGGTCTCAGGAAGAATTACATGCACTTTATGTTTCATTTCTTTTTCTTACTTAAAATGAAGCTTTAGGGTTTTGAAGCAATATTAGAACCAGAGGAGTAACTTGGTTGTGCTGTGATACGGAATGTCAGACTTGGTTTATGTTAACAACTGTATTTAAATATTTTTTTCTTTAAAAGGGAGACATATCTTAAGCACTTCTGATTGCTTTTTTTTTTTTAGTCAGAGTCTCACTGTCACTTGGGTTGGAGTGCAGTGGCATGCTCAAAGCCACTGTGGCCTCGACCTACTTGGGCTCAGGTGATCCTTCCACCTAGCCTTTCAAGTAGCCAGGACCATAGGCATACCACCACACTCGGCTAATTTTTTGATTTTTTTGTGGAGACAAGGTCTCACCAAGTTTCCTAGGCTGGTCTCGAACCGCTGCTCTCAGGCATTCCTTTTGCCTTGGCTTCCCAAAGTGCTGGGATTACAGGCATGAGCCACCACACTTGGCCAAAGTTCTTCCGAAGATATTTAATACATTTATTCTGGAAAATAATTTATTCTTTAAGTGGAAGAGTTCTTTTCTTGTCTTTTTTTGATTTGGAGTCTCACTCTGTCAACCAGGCTAGAGTGCAGTGGCACGCTCACTGCCGCCACTGCACCTTGACCTGCTGAGCTCAGGTGATCCTTTCGCCTCAGCCTTCCAAGTAGCTGGAGCTACACGTGCATGACATCACGCCCAGCTAATTTTTTGATTTATTGTAGAGACGAGATCTCACCAAGTTGCCCAGGCTGGTTGGTCTTGGACCCTTGGACTCAAGCAATCCTCTTGCCTCGGCCTCCCAAAGTGCTGGGACTACAGGCTTGAGCCACTGCACCTGCTTGAAGAGTTTATTTCATAGAATACAGATCCTATTTTTTGTTTAACATAAGGGGGCTTTCAACAATGATCTGTTCTAATGTGTCTTAATATCTTTAAAGAAATCCATTCTACCCTACAGTGCATCTCTTTTGCCAATTTTCACCAACACAAGAGATTTTGGGAGCCTTATGTGGATTAAATTGTAATGGCAATAACTGTATTTGAATGTGGTTTGATAAGCTACACATACTTCCTTATTCTAATAAGGTTGATTGGTTTCCCTGGATTGGGGTGGCTACTTTCTTAGGTGTTGCTTGTATCCTAAAGCCATTTCATTTCCATAAAGAAGGACACTCAGGTCTTGAGAAGTAAAGTGACTTAACTCAGGTCTGTATCTCTAGCTAATTTTGTTGTGTCCGTAACTTCTCTGTGGTGCTAGTACTGTCAGGTAGAATTCATTTTAAGTAAGGTTTTCTTTGGACTCCATTCAAAGGGACTCAGTGATGGGACGATCTGGTGAGGTATTTTATCCGGCAGATGCACCTTAGTGATGTGTCTTTCAACAGCAGAGCTGAAGAACAGTAAGGCACTCCACTGGGGGAATTGCACATATGAATCTTTCTATATTTCTGTAAGACAGGGAAGCCTAGGTATTGTCAAAGAACTAGAGCTGAGATATTTCTTGTATGTTGTGAATTTGGGCTTAAATAGCATTGTTGTTCAGAGACCTATTGTTGTTCAGGGACTTTTCAGAGCACCTATTTCCAGATCATCTGTTCATCTTATAGAGAATGAAATCAAAGTCCCAATTTGTGATGTGGGTTGCCTGGGTTTGGGTGGATAGGTTCTATCTGAAGCAGGCTTTGGAGGCAGATGACCTGGATTTAAGTCTCAACTGTGCTAGTGACTGACCTTGTAATTTTGGCAAATTGTGTAAACATTCTGACTCTCAATTTCTTCAACTGTAAAATGGGAATAATAGTTTTTTGTTTTATATGGATTCAGATGAGAAATTAAATATAAACTGCTTAGTATAGTGCCTGTCCCATAGTAAAGTACCCTGTAAATGTTGAGTTGTGATTATGTTGAGTTGTAATGGTGACCAGAGGTGCTGCATTATCCTGTCATAGTGTGGCTTACTGATTTTTCTTTTCTTTTTTTTCTGAGTCAGAGTCTCACTCTGTCCCCCAGGCTGGAGTGCAGTGGCATGCTGACAGTCACTGCAGCCTTGACCTGCTGAGCTCAGGTGATCCTCCACCTCAGCCTTCTAAGTAGCTAGAACCACAGATACGTGCCACCATGTCCGGCTAATTTTTCTTGGTTTACTGTAGAGATGAGGTCTCATCGTGTTGCCCAGGCTGGCCTCGAACTCATGGGCTCAGGCAATCCTCTCACCTCGGCCTCCCAAAGTGCTGGGATTATAGGTGTGAGCCACTGCATCCGGCCTTACTGATTTTTCATATGGTGCAGTCAAAATAATCAAAACTTCTATGAAATGTCATTCTTTTTTCTGTACCCTCAGGACTGTACAGAGTCTGTCATAGGCTGGATTACCAGCATGTAGTATGATGCATTTTAAATACCCCTAAACTTGAGTGTAGTGTAATTCACTCTTTTTTCCTGTCTGATGGTACCCTCAGATCTTCTGGTCATTGTAGTAATGTGATAATCCAGTATTTATCTG